CCACTAGTATTCCGTCTCTAAAGAAGCCTAAAGGTACCCAACAGAAAACCGTAGATCCATGTCTCACTTACCAAGTGTTCGACTTCGTTTATCATTCTCCATTTCCATATCCCCAGCAGACTCTGAGCTCTCCTCTACATCTGACGTCATCAGATCAACCGGTGGCTGAAATTGTAGGTACGATTCCTCTGACTTACGACGAGTCGGTATCTCAACCTCCACAAGACAATAACTCTTTCCTTTCTTGACCAACGAAATCACCTTCCCAATAACACTTAACATGTGGAATATATTGACTCGAGGAAGATCTCGTATTGCTTGGGGTATTGGTTGAATCACTACAGACTCAGATCCAGGCCCTTCCGCGCGACCTCCTGGTGACGTCACCATCATGTCTTCCATTTTGAGAACGGCTGAGATCACGTGTTCAAAGCCATCGTTGAGCGCGAACTGTTCGAGGAGTTCCCGAGACAGTGCGAGCAAAGATGAATTGATAAGTGTTCCAAATTGTAGAGTTGAACACAAGAAAGAAAGAAGACYTTGAAGAGAACGCGAGAAAAACAACACGTAGTGAAATCGCTTCCACAGCGCAGACTTTCCCAAGCATTCTGACTGACATTCAGAGGAAAGTTTTTGACTTAAATGTTCGATTTCTTCTGCTAGTTCCTCAAGCTGTTCAGCAGTGAAGACGGCATTTGACAAGGCGTTCTCCACGAGGGCGACCAGGTTTTTGACATACGAGCTTTTCACAAGCTGTTTCGCTGACTTTGGATTTTTAAATGTGGTGTACAAGAAAAAAAGGACAGTTCTTAGCATAGATAACTGAGCAGTTACACAAGATGAACTGTCCCAAGCGCAATRGATCTCGTCGAGATCCTCGTTCTGTCCATCCTTTATACAAAGGATAATGTCAATCAATTGACCAGCGGTCTTCATAGTTAAAGTAGTATCACAACTCGAGATGTCACGGCAACATAGGTTCTCTAGCACTGACAGAATTAGGTTAAACAGCTCCAAGGTATTGATGGTAACGTCTTGGCCGCTTTCTTCGGCACTTTCTGCAGTTTCCTTCGTTTCCTTTCCTTCCTTTCCAGAGCTCTCTGGAATTTGACAAACAGTATTTGGTGTTTCTGTACTTTCCACGAGACTTGAAATTCCACTGCTTTGACGATGGAACTGAACCTCATGAGGACTGGAGCTATCACTAGGGTTCGAACTAAGAATCCCCATACTCCCCATGCTGCTTACACTACTTATACTGGTCAAGATATCGCTCTCGTCTGCTACACTTGAAGAATCTGTGCTGTCCTTCAATGGAAGAACAAGACCACAGCTTATTGTAGCATCCTGTTTTGAAGTCAACGTTTTCTCTTCAGAATCATGCAAACTCGCCTGGTTAGTAGAGCTGGCTGGACTAGCGAAACGATCATCACAATGCTTTAAAATCATTTTCTGGATGGTAATGGAATGGTAAGGTTTGGCTTTGGGGTCTYGGAAATAATTCTCCCACTCTAACATCAGCACTTCAAGACCTAAAACAAGATCATTATTATGATTAGGAGTATGAACAAGTTACAATTGGTTGTTTAGTATAGAAGACTAGAATTCCACGCGCCGCCTTCAGTGTATCTCTATTTGCGCGCGACGAACGACCTCTCACGACACGACTTCGTCGCTCGAATAAAAATCTCCTGCCGAAGATTTCGATTTCGGGCAAGKCTAAATAAAAACGATCGCTATATTTTATAATTTATACCTACCTCAGTTCCATTATTGTTTTAGACCAGGCCATTCCTAGCTCTACTCTATTCTCATTCGTCTTTTTACCCTCTACGCCTTTCTTCCCACCTGTTCTCTTTCTATCCATTTCCCAGTCTTTGCCTTTCATTCGTCTTCCCATCCACCTCTCTTTCATACAGTCTTCTCCCTTCCCTACCAATCGTTTTTCTGTTCGTCTCTCTTCCCACTCCTCCCCTTTTCAAAGATTCCTTGTTTCCCATTCTTGTATACCCAGCATAGATATCAGGCTCACAACCCTCCCCCCTCCCCTCCCTCCTCCCAAAAAACAACAACAAATAAACAACATACAGTACCTTGCAGCATGTCATGTCCAATAGGTGGTACTCTAAAGAGCACTGGTAGAATGGTCACAAGTAGGTGTGCTAGTGCACTACTACAACCTGCAATCTGTATCATAAATAAGTATAAGTATCAATATTAATTACTCTTTGGTGGGAATTAAGGGTTGTTGTTGTCTCTCTGTTGATTCAAGGGYTTTTCTCTTATTCAGTTTTTACGGTATTTTTACGGTAGTTTGTCTAGTAGAAAAAACAAAAGAGATAGAGTTGGTCCCATTCTCCACGCCTTCATTTTCGAGGAACGCCTTAGCAAAACTTCAGTTGTCCTCCGTCTTGTGACTTTCGTCTTGTGACTTTCGTCCTGTTTATCAAGGAAAGAAGTGGAGCAATGGATTGGGAAGATGTTTGGGATCAGCATGGAGAAAATGTACCATGGCAAATGCATGTTCCTCATCCATCTTTAGTGAGAAACATTAAAGTATTGACCGGAGGTAAAGAAAAACAGCGGATTCTAGTGCCCCTATGTGGAATGTCAAAAGATCTGATATGGTTGGCTGATCAAGGACATACAGTCGTAGGAATAGAGGCAGTCAGAACACCTATCAAGACATTCTTCGACAAGAATCAGTTAGAATACGATTTAGATGCTATCAACATAGCCCCGTCTGGCGCCTACATATTCAAAGCTAAAACCAAAGATATAACGATCGTAGAATGTGACTTTTGGTCTTTTCGAAAAGCTGCTGTTGGTGGACAACCTTTTGATGCTGTTTGGGATAGAGCAGCTCTTATAGCAATGCTGGCAAGAACCCAGGAAAGTGAAATATCTATAGGGAAAAAGTATTTGCAGGTATTAAGAGATATCCTGACTCCTTGTGGTCGCATACTGATTGAAACCATGCTGTATGATCCAGAAGAAAGGAAAGACAGTTTTGGACCAGCCTTATGCACAAACCAAACACTGAAAGAAATATGTKATGAAGACTGGGATATGGAAAAAGTGGAGTCAATCGCACTAAAACCTGGTGAACGCTTTCAGAATTTTGCYTTTCCTTACAATGTTGAAGTTGTTATACATCTTTTGAAGCCCAAGCAAACATAAGATATATCATTATCTACAGACCAAACAACATAACCATTAAACACTACAAGACTATTTTTTCTAGAAATTTGTGTCTTACTTGWAGCCACTAGGGCAAGAGATCTTACTAATAAACAGCCTTGAAAATAACRACTCAATAGTTGCAATAATGAGCCTAATAAATCAATATGACTACTGGGGGGAAGGGGGGTGGGGATGCAAGTTCAGACTTTAATATAATCAAGAGRTTATTGATCATACCTTGTTTGCTAGAATGCAAAGAACTTCCAGTAGCATCAACCCTGGTCCCTTACACAGATACTTTACCAGGAGCTCCTCGTCACCTTCTTGACATTTAGCAAAAATAATGTCCTGGAATTCTCTTGCCAATATGTTGCTTACACTATGAATATCCCTACAAGGTATCAATATAACGTTTGCATGATGGCRTCATTGACCTCTACTACCAGACTCCCTTGCACACTTTCTTTYRTYCAGTCAATATTAGCACTAATTGTCTTACTATTCTCATGAGGGGATACAAATTAAAATGAGAAAAAAATCGCAAAGCATTTTGGTAGTGGGAGTCAAATGATACCATCATGCAAAYGTCCTATTGATKYAAATATAACATGGTACTCATTATTAAGGTGTGGAGTGGGGTAGGGACTTTGCAAGCTTTGTCTCCATGCCCTTAGGAAGTAGATATCCATATAAGATATCAATTGACAGAAAGATATCACCTTTGTGATATTAATCAAATTGCTACCTTTATTAAGGTGATAGGGTGTGGTGGGGTGGTAGGGTAGGGGTAATATAAATAATAATAAACTTTATTTAGAGAGGATGACACATGATGCTCCTAGCTTAGCACTGATAAATTTATGGTTTTCTCTGTTTAAAGTCTTTGAATGAGTTGAAACTGCTTTTTGCATGGTCACCTGAGCCACAGTGAAGGTCTAACCATTTGCAGATATTTTGAGAGGAAAGGTAGCACCATCTTTTCAGATATTTAAAAACCTTGGGTGTTGGTCCAGCCGAGGCTTGACCTCACAACCTCCCACAAAATAATCAAGTGCTGTCCAACCGAGCCAGCCGGGAGGTGGCCTTGCTTCTATGCCCCTAGGAAGCTGAGACAGTATGCTCACACTATGAATACCCCTATCACAAGGTGTCAAATTTAGGTTCCAAAATGGCCATCACACAGAAAAGCTGGTGCAAGTAGCCAAGGCAGCCCAAGAGGAACAAAACGTTGATACGAAGTTTTACATTTTTTGCAAAATAGAACATGATATATTGGTCTTCACCACAAACAAGGTACCAATTTCATTCTACTAAGCATAAAGAATATAATCAGCTAAAGGCCCTATTACATGTTGAAGTTTGAGCTGAAACTAGTGTGTGATGGTGTTGTGAGACAAGTTTCTCAGGGGTGGTACACRGCACAATTTTATCCTGAAACTTTTTCATACAAGTTTTGGTTGCAAAAATAGAAAATATCTCCTTGCACAACTAAAACTTGTATCTYGAACAATGCCTTGCATTCATTTCATATTTACCCAAATGATGGCATCTTTCCTGTGTGTCCACCTACAGAGGAGTATGTCTTTAGAAACTCTTTGAGAAATAACTTCAAGTACTTGGATTTATCCTTTAGAAAGAAGAAAAACATTTTTCATATTTAATATGCTATAATATACCACATGTACCAATTTCCCTTTGTGTACATTAACAATAAAATGAAATTATACTTGGAGAGTCTCATTACAAGCTGTTAGTTAAAAATCATTATGGAAAAGATACTTCCGGTTTAAATAAACATATTTCCATCCCTTTCTCTTTCGAAAGAAAAGCAATCTGTTATTCTTTAGTATACCTGGATTACAGATATATAGGATAAGCTGTTCGATGAATATATATATGACGTTTAAGTATCAACAAAGGACGGGAATAGATATCAAAATGCTGGAGTAARTTAATCGATTTATACAGTAGTTTAAAGAATTTTAAGGTAGTGTTGTAAAGCGTTTTGTATTTTTTCAAAAATTATGCAAAATTTAATAAAGTATGCATGAATCGCTTATTGTAAAAAAAGGGAGGGAAAGCCAAACCGAAAAATAACGGGAAAAATAACACGAATTCGTTGAGAAAAACAAGCGAGTTTGATAAGACTCCATACAGAGACGTGTAGGCATTATGCAGAACTGTGTGAGCTCTTCAACGCGCGAACTGTTACTATGTTTATAATCTACCTACCCCTGGAATAACCGTAGTCAAGTATTGGCTCCAGCATTGCCTAAGAGAGTCTTCTAGCCTGGATTCCTCCATTTTTCTCTTTATCTTATTTATTTTTAATGTCGAACTGAGTAAATTTGTCTTTCCATCACGTGCATTTTGTCAGCCATGAAAACAGCTGACTTTTGATGTAGAAATACAGTTCTTTCTATWGCATTGCTCCAAAATTCATCTCTTGTGGGTGTTAGGGATGTATAGCTAAATCTTTAGGGAAGATTTGAAATCATACTGAGGTATTTTCGTGGATAAACGGGCGGCTAAAGTGAGAGTATCATCTTTCTTGTTGTGATTGCACTATGGAGTTAGAACAAAAACACCGCTGACCACATATGCCTGACARCAGATCATCAAATCATCACTCGTAAATCTGTAAATGGATTTATTGCTGTATTACCAGTAAATATGTCAATAAGATATCACGGAATCTAATTCAGCTCTTTTTATTGTGTCCGTTATTAAGATATTTATATGATCTCTTAACCTTTTGACTTGGCTTTTCCTAACCATTAAACTAACTATTAATTATATTTAGCATATACCAACTTGTGTACTTCCTAAGAACGCGCGCGCTCATTGGGTAATTGGAGGTGAATATTGTACGATATTCACCTCTGAATCTCGGAATATTAAGCCGGCAACAAAATGGCATCTGCCGGCAATCGTTTTGCTACAATTTCCAATGAGGAAATTGAAAAAAAGAAAGTAAACGCCATTCCTATCAATACTAAAAAGACAACGAAGTATGGCCTAAAGATGTTTTGCTAAAAGTTTTGCTAAACGTTTTGCGTGAATTTGTCACACAAACTAAAAGTTTCTGTTTGTTTGTTTTTATTGAATTATTGTATATAAAGATAAGTTACTCGTACACAAATTGGTATATGCTAAAACAATTATTCGCCTCAGGCTCAGTGAATATGGAAAAAATATTTACCTCGCGTCTCGGTTAACCACAACAACAAATAAAAAAGAATTATTTTTTAAAATGGTAATAAAAAACGATTATTTATTTATTTTTATATAAAAATTCAATATATCGTATAAGATAAAGAAAGATTCCAGATTGTAAGGAAACTTTTTTTTTTAAAGTTGATAATAGGTTTAGGTTTAGTTCCCAGAATGTTCTTCAGTRAAGATACCCAATGACAAGGAAAAAACCTTTTATCCCAGGCATAATGCTAKCTCTTTTCAAACCTCTCGTCAACGATTCTTGGATTGAATATTGCCCTGCAAGCGTTTCCGACAGTAAAGATTACAACCGCAGTACAAATAGATATTTSATATATATTCTCATACACATATAAATAAAGATATGGTACTAAAGAGATTGACGCATGGCTCTGAAATGAGAAAACATTATTGAGTCAACTCAAAAGGGCCTAGTCTGGGTAGGACCAGAACGCAATGAGTGTCAAAAGCATCCGGTAATTAACCAAGTACTCCTGTCTAGATGAGCACTAGTTACTTTATATCAATCATACTAGGACTACATGATAGACGATTGAAAATGCGTCCCTGACGTCTGTTCTAATGTTCCAATGTTTGGAACTCTGATTATGACATCATTCTGTGTCGCGGTCTTACTGTCGTCATCATCATCTGTCTCATTTCCTATCTCTGGAATTGCATTTTTCGTTTCAGTGTAGGCATTCCTCGCGATGTCATGCAGACGCCTTTTTTCTGTTGGTCCCGTGTTGTCTACGAGYTCTGAGAAGATACTTTGGTGGTTTTTAAGAAGGAGGTATGGGRCGTCGAATTCTTTAAGGCGACCTGCATCGAGAACCTTTTGAACATCGAAAAGATGAATGTTACGTTAGTGATAGACCGATTCATGGAAGGTAAATCTCTAGTCGCCGAGTATAGTTTGCATWACGTTTCTTGTTATTCATCTTTTTTCCTTCTTGCTTTCCTTCCTTCTTCATTTCAATTCCTTTCCTTTTTCTTTCCTTTCCTTCCCCTCCCTCTCTTCCTTTTCCTCCCTCCCTCCCTCCCTCGCTTCCTTCCTTCCATTCTTGCTTTCTTTTTTTCTTTTTCTTTCTTTCTTTTTTCTTTCGTAAGAAAATTCCTTTCAAATACGTGAAAGCAACTGGAGTACAAACCATGACTCTGTCAGAATCCATGATGGTATGAAGCCGATGAGCGATGGTCAACACGGTACAGTTACGGAACTTGTCTCTGATTGTAGACTGGATTAACGTATCGGTACTGGATAAGGAAAAAAAATACAGGGCTCAAACACAAGTCAGTGGGGGTAGTTTTCTTATGAATGGGACGGCACTTATACGGTACAGCATGTCGTAACAATTAAATGGCTTTTTCTACTGAATCGTCCAATCACAACACGGAGTTTCTTTGATGGTAAGTAATTGGCTGTAATCAAAGGGAGGTCACAGCTTTACTTACTTTGGGTCTACATTAGCAGTCGCCTCATCAATAACTAGAATTCGACTGTGTCTCAAGATGGCGCGTGCCAAACACACCAATTGCCGCTGRCCAACACTGAAGTTAGATCCAGATTCAGCCAACTCTTCGTCAAGTTTGTCAGGAAGATCTTCAACTGCTTTCTTCAACTGAACCTGAAAATATATCTCATTGAGTAACAATCTCTTRCAAATGGAGACATTCATGAAACATACCTCTTCTAGAGCATTCCAAATTTGGACATCAGAATGTTYATTGAACGGATCAAGGTTTTTCCGCATCGTCCCACTGAACAGAACAGGATCCTAATACAAATACAATAAAACTCGTATTCACCCAATCTGCTGGCAACTATGATTTCAATGGCAACTTTACTCTTATTGAGGATGGTATACCTGTGGTATGATTGACAGTTTTCTCCTCAGGTCCTTCAGTCCAATATCCCGGATGTTCATATCGTCTATCCTGATGACTCCCGTTGGTTCCGCCAAACGAAACAACGTGGATAACAGCGATGATTTACCTGCACCAGTCCTACCTACAACACCAATCTGAAGTAGAATGCGTGACATGATTGGTTAGTATGCTGCCTGCTAAGCAAGAGGTCCACCGCAGTGACCTTACCGCACATTTGTTTTAAGGTGCAAGTGTTCTGCCTACTAAGCTAAGCAAGAGGTCCATAGTTTGGTCCTCAGTGACCTCACATAGTTATTTTAGGACTAAGTGTGGCTTGGTTGGTAAGTGTGTTGCCTGCTAAGCAAGAGGTCCATGACTTTGATCCTCAGTGACCTCACACACGCAACTCCTTTATTCCACGTAGCTAAGGCTTCAGGTATTCTACCGTCGTATAGGTTTTATCCCTTTAAGCTTTACGTCTTTAAAGAATACCAAAAGATGTGAATCCCGATGCCCGAGTAAATGCTATTTCTATAACTCCTGCCTACCTTTTCTTTTGRTTTAATGACGCAGGAAATGTGATGCAATACTTTTGGTAATCCTTTATGATAAGAGAAGGACATGTTATTAAACTCTATTTGGCCCTCGTTCGGCCAGTTGTCTGGTGGCTTGACATCAGTCTCTTGAGGTGCTTCATGTTCAAGGTGGTARTACTCAACAATCCGCTCAACAGACGTCATCTGAATCAATCACAACCAAGAGAGTTATCAGGGATATTCCAGTGCCTTTAAATACATCCATCCATAGAGTAATCCTTCCTTCTTTACAAAACAATCCTTCCACTTACCAGGTTCTCAACTTCAGCACTTTCCTCGATGAACGGCTGAAAGGTGGCAGTCAGCATGATGGCATAGCTGACGKTCAAACCCACTATTCCTGCACTTAAACCTACAACTGCACAAATAAATAAATAAACATACAAATATGAAGACAAAGAAATACAAAAACTATTGGCAGTCAAATAATTGTGCATCTTAAACCTGAGGCACGCCACAATAATATTTACAAGTTTTCATTTATTGCCCATCAGTGGAATTAATAATAGGGCTTTCCTTTAGTAGCGGGAGGAATTCGACAAATCACTTGATGTGCCAACAACCTCCTTTGCAAAATTACTAACCATCTTTAATAACAGGTGAAATCAAAGCCACGAATAGCAGAAATACGACACACAGAATATGTAGTCTAAAGGACAACCAGGCTTGACCGGAGATGTAAGTAAACCAAGCTCGAGAATGAGCGTCCTGGAACGATATGAACTGATCCTTGAAYGTCTCTTGTACACCAAATGCACGAATAGTATCCAACCCAAGTAGAGTGGTGGAAAAATGACCGAACAAGGGACTGCGACCTGAGGATAACCAAACTATATCAGTATTGGGAAATKGSATGGAATGGGAWAAATGGRCAGACGGACGGAYAGATGGATGGAKGGAYGGAYGGASGGAYGGAYGGAYGGASGGASGGASGGASGGASGGASGGAYGGATGGATGRATRGATGAATGATCAAGAACACCTTCCACTACTTACTTATTGCCTCAATCCTCTTGATTTCTCGTGAAGATTTCATGAAGTAGTTTCTAACCAAGATGAAAATCACAATAACGGGAAAGACAACCACCAGCGTGACTGGATTTGTGGCACCAACAAGAAACAAGATACCTAAGCATGTAAATCCAGTCTGGAATTACAAATAGAATACTTRGTTAACAACATATGGCCCTTGTTTGCATGGAGCAGACCAAAAGGGAAAGAATAGAGAGAGAGAAAGGACCAACCAATAGGACGTCACACAGGAGCCATGGAATATTGTCATCCACCACACTGATATCTTTAGCAAATCTGTTTAAAATACGACCTGAAATAACAACCATTGTCATTTCATGTAGTTATTTACAAGATATTACTCAAACAAACTCAAWTGATTACTTGATTAAGTGTATTAAAAAGGTGCGGACAGAAGAAGACCGCATAGTTTTTCGACACAGCGTTTCGATGTCATCCATTCTATGAAAATTAACTTTCTCTTGTCCAATGTAATAAAAATATCGTCGTCAATCTCGCTTGGTGATAAGGCATAACCTTTTCTGCGATAGCAAACGTGGTGCATTATGGTCTAGCTTGGGTACSAACATATTTTGTTCATTATGTCTTATGGTGTTGTCTGTACCCAAACTAGAYCAGAATGCACCCTGTTTATCGAAATCAGAAAAGACCACTGTACCTACCTATTGAATTATTATCAAAGAAATACATGGTCGCCCTCATAGTACTTGCAAGCATCTTTAAGTGAAGATTTCTAGACGCTACTATAGTCATAACGAAAAACAGTTCAACACATATTATACTGAGAACAAAAAGACCAAACACAAGTGCTGCGTAAACACCAAGGTAGTAATCCCGATCAGGACGAGTAGGACTGGACATGTTGGAAGAACTGTTCCGTGCTTGAAGGATCACGTGGTATGATTCTTCAACGTTCGTCCTGTATGTATGGAAAGTAAATCAATCGTTAATGATGATGGACGTACCGTAACCCTGGACGTGCGATAAGTCAGTACCGTATGTTTTCCACCCACTTTTACTAAAACCGCATTAACATATTAATACTAATTGTTAGAACTCACCATTCTGCGAGCCATAGATCACAGCACATAGCAACTACCTAAAGAAAAGAATGAATAACGTAAAGGTAGGAAATCAGTGACGATATGTGCATCTCATTAAAAAAATCCTTTAAAAATGAATACCAAAAGTCCTCCCACCTGACACACGGCAAAAAGAAAAACAACGAAGATCCCCAGGCCTAGGTTATGAAATGATCTWAGATATGAAAGATATGTCTTAGCACTGACAGCCCCTTCTTGCTTTTCTTCTTCTGGTAACAGGTCTTCTTTCTATTAGGAAGAAAAAAACATTGGTATAACTGGGAATGGTTTGGGATAAGAAGAGACTGTTTCATTGTCAATAACAACAGTAGCAGCAACAACATGACAAGTACATTCAACACTAAGTGCATTATTCTCTACAATATCATCGCAAACGTGGACATAAGCAGCAGCAACAACAAAAGCAACTGCAGCAATAACAGAAGCAGCAAAAGCAACAACAACAACAATCAAGCGCAATAACTTCAGGACTTGTGACAGTTTCCTTGAATCAAAATACAAACCCCTACCGTCTACACAAGTTTGATTGAATCCAAACACAAGTCTGAATGAAAAGGCTGAGGTGTGTGAACRAACCCCTTTACTCACATAAACCGAGGCAGATGAAGCTGCAGACATGACAGACAAGTTGCTTTCGATTAGCTTGGTACTCCTTAAGCAGACGCCACCTTGTTCTGACTTCTGTCTGCTAATGTTCCTTGCGAACCGATGTCTGATCTTGTCATGTTCTTCGTGCTTGTGTTCTAGGGCTACTTCTTCTTCTTCCTTATGTGTTAGTGAAATAAAATCCACCCCAGCTTGGAGTAAGTTCTGATAAGTGTCTTGACCTACGCATCTTCCCTGCATTGAAAAATAACGTTTGCGAGCATAGGTCTTCTGAGTTCGATAAACAAGATGCATTATTGCCTTGCTTCGATACAAACAACACCATATAAGGCATGATAWGCTCACACCACAATGCACCATGTTCGCTACCTCAGAAAAGGTCTATTTCTCTAAAAGTAAAATTGTTATAAGTACCTCAGTCAGAACTAAGACCTTACTGGCTTGCTTCAAGAATTGAAGCTGATGTGTTACAAGAATACGAGGCTTGTCAGCGAGATAACCACAAATACACCTTAAAAAGAATAAGAATAACATATGGGTATACAACAACCCACAACAACACAACAACAACCCACAACAACACAACAACCCACAACAACACCTCTTCCATTACTTCCTTATTTTTTGTCAACATTCCCCAGTTTTCTTGGAATAGGATGTTGAGAAAGATAATCTTGCAAATGAAAATTYGTTTTCTTTGAGAAAGTGTCGTTGTCGAAAAGTGCTCCATGTGCTCCGTTCGTATCCTGTATTTCCTACGCATGCGCAGTAAGGTTTTCACCCTTGTGAAAAAAAGTAAATCTGTTTTGAGATGCCTTGTTTTCATGTCTGTACCTATCGTCTAAAWAGTAAAGATACTATTGGACTACTACTATTGGACTATTTTTATTACCAATGCTATTGACTAAATTCGATCACGTGATACACTTAAGATTCCAATCATACTTATCAAAGAGATGTCTTCCTACATTAGCATCTACAGCACTGAGAGGGTCRTCCAGCAGGTATATATCTGCATCAGAATATAAGGCCCTGTCACAGTAGAACAAAAACCGTATCAGTTGAAAGAAAGGATTGATTTTTCTTTTGTTCGGTAGAAGAAATTCA